TTTTTTTGTTTTTTGTTTTTGGGGGGGGGTTGTAAGTTGTAGGCAATGGAAGGAGTCGTTCCCGTCCGTCCGTCCGCCCGCTCGAATGCATGGAGTCTCTCGGTCCGCCTGTCTGCCCGCTTGCTAAACCAACTGTTGTCTCTGTCCTATGTGTGTAGCGAGTAGCGAACTACTCTTCACAAACGGACGGTTCGTTACCCGTCCGCTCGTTTGCGGGTAGTGCCAAAGAGTAGTTCGTTACTCGCGGACGCTAATTTTGCGAGCCTGACCCAACCCTAATGTGCATGCATACTTTCCTGGTACAGCGCCTTGTCCATAATAGTCACCCACGATCACAAACAAAAGTGACCATAATTATGGACAGGTGGCCTTTATAATGAACAACGCCTGAGTTATGGTCCCTTACTAAACTTGACAGTCATTAGACGCTTTAAAATCTGAAATCTTAATTTTCTCCTTCCATTTTATTTCCATCAAAATAGTTATATATTATCTACCAGAAGAACTTCTTAGTATTGAAAACACTCAGTCTGAGGACAGGTTTCTTTCAGGGGAAAATTTTTGTTGCAAGTGATTGCTATCATGAACAGGATTTGAAGCTGACTTGTTGTTAAAAAGCCTGATTGGTATGAAATTGAAATAAAGGAGACAAGTGTATGGAAACTGTATCAAAGTACCAGACGACGCGATATGACCCTAAGTAGGCCAGGATAACCCAATCTCACAAGTAGGGTGCTGCACAGTGGCGACCAGTAATGAAGTAATGGCATGTTTTGTTAGTTTGTTAACAATTTGTGTGATATTGTTGTGTTGTGCATTCTGCGTTGTTGATGAAAGCTGCACTTGCCATTGTAAATTACCTAAATTTCTCTACAAGGACAAACCTCGGCTGACAGAGATACACATGATGGCGATGCATGATATTATATAATATACAAGCACAAAGAAAACAATCTGGCGTATTATTTTCTTTCTGTTTGTGTGCATACTTGACATTGACAGTAGGAGAAAATTTAGAAGAAAAAAATTGATGAATTACGACTGTAAACAAGATGTAAGCCTCTAACATAATAAACAATGAATGGCCCATCTATTGTCAAAACAAGCAAGGCATGCTGAATAAGATGGTGGTTAAATTGGCCTTAAAATTTTTGTATTAAAATCTGCTCCTGAGCTTCACTTGCATGAAAATGAGAGCAACAGTAAATATTAACACCCATTGGAGTAGCAGAACATAGTCTACCTTTAAATTTTCACCATCCACTTCTAGTTGTTTTTCTCGAAAATCCACACCAATGGTGGCTTCTGTTTTGTCTGGAAACTTTCCACTGCAGAACCTATACGTAAGGCACGTTTTCCCGACATTTGAGTCACCTATAACGATGATTTTAAAAATTCTCTTTTGGGCTTGTTTTTCTATTACTCTGACATTTTGCAGACCAGCTGGGTCAGTGTTACCATCCGTTGACACTGCTCTTGTTTGGGGTGATTTCAGCTGATTGTCGCGGTGCTCTATTTCTCTCAACTCAGAATCCATTGTCGTCAAAAGTCAAGGAAACCCAAACTGACACACAAATATGGTAGTAAATAAGGCAACAGCGTGCTTATTTTTAATATAATTAATGTCAACTCTTTGCCAAGAGTAATATAACATCAAAAGATGACTAAGAACTATGGTACGAGGATGTCAGTTTTGTCAACAAAAAAACCCATGTAAGTCGCCATATTTGTTGTGAAAGTGACATCATTTTTGTCGTTCGAGATTAACGTGAAGACAGTATTTATTTGTAAAAAAAGATTAAATTTCAATTTATTGACTTTTTAGCTGAAATTAAATAATTTCAAACGGGCAAGATAAATATAAATGTAATTTAGTTGATCTCGTCTGAATTAAAAGTCTCGAAATGCACGTTACTGAGAAAATTGCTGTTCGTTCCGCCATATCGGAATTTGCACCTCGTGGGTGCATGGAAGTTGATTGTGTTTTTAGACTTATAGCTTGGTAATTAGTGTACAGATTCCCACTACCAGGATGCCACCTAAGAACCCATTGCCTCCGAAAGAGAGTGCGTTGTTCAAGCGCATTCTGGTAAGTTGGGAATTGATATAATTCAGTGCTGTATGAATGACCTCATTGCAAACGATCTGTAGCACTCCTATTGTATTTTTGAGCCAACTTTGTTGGCCCTGATCACGAGAAAACCTTTGTTACATTGCATAGAGAATCTTTCTCTGCGTAAAGACGCATAGAATCTACATACGAAGCCCATAATGTGAATCACTGACACAATTCATGTGATGTTATGCTTTTTTCAAACTACTGGTAGACCCTAATGCAGGATTTTCTAGAAGCCTTCATCGGATCATGTGTGGCTGCTGGGTCACACTACACCACACTACTCTTCTTACACACCACGGTAGACAGTTGCCACTGAGTTATTGGTAAATTTATAGAAATAGAAACCCTCCCGTCTCATGAACGGTATTATTTTGTAGCTTTTTAGGGCCCTGAACACGAGTTTGGCATTGAAAACTGGCAAATGGGTAGATCTAGTTTAGATGACATGACGCTGCAGCGAGCGAGCACCTAGCCTAGGCTACTAACTAATCTATCTAGCCTAGCACACCTCTACTCTGTGATTGGCCCAAATATAGATCTAGATCTATCTAGATGACGTAATCCCGCCATCTATTTTTTTCGTCTTCCGGGGCTTCCCTGGCCAGTTCACTAGATCTAGAATCGGGAGGAGGACTTCCGTAGCGAGCGACCACTATGAGACAGCAGAATTGAGGGGTAGGGTTAGGTCTAGGCCTCTTCTTTATTGTGTTTAATGGGGTGGTCGCTCGTTATGGAAGTCCTTCCCTAGAATCTATATCAAACCGTGGCGGGCCTGCTTTGCCGCTTAGCGCGTGATGGGCTACGACTCTAGATCTAGATCTAAGTTTCATCGTCGACTGCTTGGGTTGTGTGCGCGCTTGTGTGTATAGATTTCTATGTGTGGGTGGGTATACAAATTTGAGGAGAAGCATGGCGCTGTTACGAGGTTTCACTGTAATTTAAATTCTTGTATCTAGATATACATGTAGGCCCAGAGCATCCTACTTGGGGAACCTAAACAAATGGGGATAATTGGGCTGGGAAAGATCATGGAAACGTAGCTTTTTTAAGAGCATCCGAGTGAAGGAATGAATGGAGAACCATGATCGCCAATGTCTGCTGCAGATCTGGCACTGGATGATGATGGTATCTACACATAATATATTTATAATAAACACACGTTTTTACCATTCCTGTACAGCGTAGAAAAATTTCCCACTGGGACTATAAAGTATCATCTTGTATTTTATTAATTTTAAAAATCCTTCCTCAGAAATGCTATGAGCAGAAACAGTATAAGAATGGTTTGAAGTTTGCAAAGCAAATTTTGACAAATCCAAGGTTCTGTGAACATGGAGGCAAGTATACTGACTTCTATTAAAATTAAAGATGTTTGTCGAGCATAGAAAAGAGTAATGTATGTCATTATTTTTTGTTTTGTATTAGGAGTAAGTGGTAGTTACAATTTATTAAAAAATGGAATATAAAGTGAAGTGTTCTGTCCTTTGTTCCTTGGTGTACATAATTATATTATTCTATGATAGATCATGTAAAGGTGTTACATCGTTACAAATTTGGTTGGAGTCAATACGGTTTTTAAAAAGAATCTATACATTTTACTTTTATGACGCTTTTCTACTAAGAAAAGGTTTAATTCGCTTTGCAATAAAATAATACAAAGAACATGAGCACCATGTGGTTTTACCAGTGTTCATTTCTCTCTGTACAGTCAGTGATGTTAGTCTGTGCTTTGTTTATTTCTCTACAGAAACACTGGCAATGAAAGGGTTGACCTTGAATTGCTTGGGCCGAAAAGAAGAAGCATATGACCACGTGCGGCGTGGTCTTCGCAATGATTTGTCAAGTCATGTGTGTATCCTTTTTATTTTGATGGCCCATCAAAGGTACCTAGAGAGGGAAGAGGTTCGGGAACATTAACAGGGAGACTTGATAACCCGGTCAGCGTCAACGATGAGAACAAAGTTCCCGAGATTTTATTTGCACCTGACCAAAAGTAGGGGGGGGGGGGTATGTTCCATGTCCTTATTTGGTGTTGAACATTATATTGGTATGTTTTAAATAAAATGTGTTAATGTAGACATTTTTGTTAAGAGTTTGCAACAATTGTTGTTCAAAATAACCCTTTTAGAACATTCCCAAGTGTTTAGTCAGTTGCGTTAACACTCCCCCTTCCCCTCTCCTCCCTCTCCCTCCTTCTAGTATTCCAGCCCTTAATTTTTAGGTTGATGGGGTTTTTCTGCTATGGGGGTTGTTTTTGAAAAAGTTGTATTCCTGAGTGTGTCCAGGTTGGCATGTTTATGGTTTGTTGCAAAGATCTGATCGCAAATATGACGAGGCCATCAAGTGCTATCGGAACGCCCTCAGATGGGATAAGGTAAATATGTCTGTGGAAGTGTTTGTAGCTGTTGTCTTGAGTATCTACATATTTCTTCCCAATTTTTGCAGTGACCAGTGTAAGTTTTGAGGAGTCTCAACTTCACTAAAAAATTTACAGTGGGTGGTTGGCGGGTACTCTGGTATGGTCGCTTCTTCTTTCCTGTCAAATTTCTATCGTCCTTATCTCCCCTCCTTTTTTATGTTTGTTACTCTCTTGTAACATCTCTAATCTTCTGGTGCTCATTTGACCTTATGCAGTTGCGAGTGCCGTAAAACCTCTACTAAAACAAAAAACATCTCTCATCTTTATCTTTTTTTCTTTTTTTTGTGTTTGTTACTCTCTTGTAACACTTCTAGTCTTCAGCACTTATACGACCTTAATGTGTTACGAGTGCCGTAAAACAATTACTAAGACTTTTAAAAAAAATTTACAGGTTACTTTGTGCAGGGAGGGGAAAAGGAACAGCAAGACTAGCTTGCGCCTACATGAGCAGAAGAGTTTTTGACTAGGGTACTTCTCTTTAGTATTACCTTTTTGTTCATCTTTTTAAAAAGATAGGAATTTTAGCTTTATGACCGTAGGATACATGAATTGGCCTCTTATCAGGGTGGGCAGGCGGTCCACAGACAACCCAGTCAACAACAACATGGCCGTAGGATCTGGTGGTATCGGTTCCATTTTTTCACAGTATGTTAAATTCTCTTTGTATGCACAATTTTAATGCCAGTTTGTAGTCGTCTTGCTGTGTAGTTTTAATTAATACCAAAAAAAGTTCAGTGCTAACATAAGTTTTATATTTCTTTTTCAGGACAACCTTCAGATTTTGAGGGATTTGTCATTACTTCAGGTCCAGATGAGGGACATGGAAGGATACCGGGTGAGTGTTATGAGTGTCCACGAAAATACATTATGGGTACAAGGTGTTTGTCCTTGAAGATTCGTACTATTGTGTTTCATGCATTTTTCTCCTTAGACACTTGAATCTGATACAGTTGTCCTTTTGCGACACTTTAGTGATTGTGTTCATAGATTTTATCTTTTCTGTGTATAGCTTCCCTCAAGTTAAAACCCATCACTTTCAAATCTGGATTTAGATTGGAATGTAAATGGTTTGCATTAGTGTGAATGGGAAGTGCCTTTTGAATGTGTTACCATTTTGAAAGTTTTCTGTTAAATTTAGCTCTAATTCTTTCCCAGTGGAATTTGTGGTACAAAAATGAGTCATATTAGTAAACTGATGATCTGATTCTGTCGTCTGTTTAGGAAACCAGGTACCAGCTGCTAGCACTTCGTCCTGGACAGAGAGCATCGTGGATAGGCTACGCTATGGCTTATCATTTGTTAAAGGACTATGACATGTGTCTGAGGATCCTGGAAGAATTCCGGAAAACACAGACAGTGAGTGTTGTTGTTGTGTGCGTCTCTGTAGGGAGGTGTGCCTGTTTTTTTTTTTCTTCATAAAGAACTGCATGTTCGGTAATGGCAGATTAAGCACACTCAGTGGAATCTACAGGGAGGAGAGTTTCAAAAAAGACAATGGAATATGGGGGTGGGGACCCTGTGTGGGTGGGGGGATTTCAATATCCTGGACGTAGTGGATGTTCTGGATTTGTGCCCTTTTGTGTCGGTTTGAAGACTGGGGAGTGGTGACGCTATCTGTAGCTGTGCCAAGGTGTAGTTATTTTTGTTCTGGTCGGGATCAGAGGTAGCCCTTTCTAAGTATAGCTTCAGGAAAATCACTGGATGAAATTGAATGAAACTTTGCATCCAAGCAGAGGAAAAACTGAAATTACTGATTTATAGAACCTGGGAAATTGCCGTGTTTGTGTGATACTGTTGGCATGTTGTCACTTTTTTTCCTTCTTTGACTTTGGACTACCTGTTTTTTTGCCAAACTACCTGAGATTGACACCTGAAGTGGGAAGCTTTTTAGGTAGGCAGGTGTGAGATGATAAGTGAACCATTGCTACTTTTGCCGTTTGCAGCCCAAGCCGTACTATGACTACGAACACAGTGAGCTGCTGCTGTACCAGAACCTGGTCATGCAAGAAGCCGGGATGAAGGAGGAGGCCATGGAGCATCTACGCAGCTACGACAAACAGATTGTAGACAGACTCTATGTACAGGAAACCACAGGTACCGCTGCCCCTCCATCCTTTCACTTGGTGTTGGTGTTTGTGTTTGAACCCCTAGTCTCCTTTTTAGTTAAGTTTTAGTAGAGGATTTACGGCGCTCGCAACTGCATAAGGTCATATGAGCGCCAGAAGATTAGAGGTGTTACAAGAGAGTAACAAACGTAAAAAAGAAGAAAGGGAGATCTGTGAAATGTTGCGCCAGCCTTGATTATCCAACTGTTCTTTTTTTGCTTTTCTTTCTTTAAAGCTTTTTTGGGGGGGGGGGGGGGGGGGTTGTGTTTCAAGTAAAGATAATCTGTTACAAAACTTGCACAGATGTTTTTTGCCGTGTAACATACGTATGTTACATGATCATTTTCGTCTCTTTGCTAAATCGGGAACATGATGAATGAAGTACTAAATATATAGTCTCTTTGAAACACTTTTAGGTTTACATTCTTGTGATGGGCATTGTTAAATTCTAAAAATCATGAGCAATGAATACATGTGGTTTGGGGAGGAGTGGCCCCCCACTTTTGGAAAATATTACAACTGTCTTTTTTTCTAGTGGATGCTGGAACCTGAAGTTTTGTATTTAACTTGTGTGTCATTTGGGGATGTAACTAGTATTCATAATCAACCCTTGTTAGGGACTGCCCCTCTTGACGGTGGAACAAATAGAAATGCTCACTTGCCCAATAATTTTTAAAGTGAATTTCCGTTGTTGAATTCACACATCTGATTAGAATAATGTATGCGTTGGGGAAATAATTGTTGCTGGGAACTAGTGTAATAAATGCTAATTTTGAATTTTAATTTATTGCTGACATGAAGCATAAAATTGTCCTTGCCAGAGAAAATTATACCTCAGCAAGTCAATGCTATGTGGGTTATTGATTTTTTTCATTCCACATTTGCAATTCGGATTTAGCCGTTGAAATTATTATCAGTGTTTTGAAGTCTGCTGTTTTGGATTTGAGACCCATGTACTTTTTTGTGTGTGTGGAGGGGGGGGGGGTAATTAAAAACCCACTGTAGTTTATGCAGCTAAACTATATGAAGTTGCCTGCATGCCCTGTTGCCATTTTCCGACTTCTTTATTTTCTGCTTATGGCAAAGGCTGTTGGATGTGCCTGTTTGGGTCCTTTTTTGTTGTTTGAATTGTCATCTTTCCATTTTTGGTCCTTATTAAATGCGTTGAGATTTGACTGTGGTCCCTGCTAGTAAATGAACCCTGTTCTTTTGATAGTTAGGATTGGGAAATCTAGGCCTTTTCTTCCCTGTTTGATAGGTATAATTAAGAGTGTAGGCCTTTTCTGTCCTGTTCGATTGTTAAATTGGGATTCTAGACCTTTTCTTTCCATTTTGATAGGTAGGATTTTGCATGTTCGTTCTTTTTTATCTTGATTAATGGGTAGGATTGGGAATGTAGGAGCTGTAGTATTTGTGTGTGCTTATTATTTTTATATACTGGTGTATAGTTTCATCTGGCTTATTCTAACAAAAAAAACACCCCATGTTTTTACAGCTCATCTGTTGACGCTGATGGAAGAACACGAAAAAGCTGCAGGAATTTACAAAGATCTCATTGACAGAAACCCAGAGAACTGGGCATATTACAGAGGATATGAAACTGCCATGCATTTAAGTAAGTCTTGTGATGTACCACCTAAAGTTACCCACACCTGGGTCAGATTTCCTGGGAACTGTGCCGAAGTCGGCAGTCTGGGAATTTGATAACCTTATCACATACATTGCATCAGAACCAATCTTGATAAAGCTTTGTCTCATGAGTACAAATATGTTTTCTCATCAACCCTCCCGCCCCCTTTTAAAAAAAAATATAAATATTTTGATAGGTATGTTTGCTCATAATATTTTAATTTCTGAATTCTGTCGTGGTTAATTCAGAACTTGCTCCATCTGTCATTGAGGTTAATTTAGAGCCTGTTGGATCTATCATTGTAATTGATTTAGAGAATACTCCATCTATGATTGTGGATAATTCAAAACTTGCTCCTTCTATCATTGTGATGAATTCAGAACTCAGTCCATCTATTATTGTGATATATTTGGTACTTAACAATTGTGTTTTTAAATTAATGAGGGAAAGTTTGTCGCTCAATTTTGTTTTTCAACTTTCTTTGACAACACAGATGACAAGCCTGATGAGAGAATGGAATTGTACAAAGATGTTCTTGAAAAGTTTCCACGTGCCACAATGCCCAAGCGTTTGCCGCTGAATTTCACCACAGGTGAGGGGGTCTGCTTGGCTCAGTGATGTGTAGTGCTGTGGGTAGCGTGCTGTTTACAGCAGCGCCCAGCAAGATGTCAGCTTGGGTTGGTGTACTTTGTAACAGCTGGTGGGGGGACATGACGATCAGCTGGTTGTAATGTGCACAACGTATAATGTTCCAGGGCTGGTTACCCATCATTACGAATTTGGTGGAATCATTACAGTTTAAAAAAAGAAATGTTTTAGCTTTAAAGCGACCATTTATTAGAATGTTACTTTCGACTAAATAACATTGTGTATCTAGCTTACGATTATTATTTATATTGCTGCTCATTTATATTATGCATGTGATTGTAAGCCTACTTGTGTGTGCACGTGTGTGTGTGTGTACTCGTGGTGGAACACCAAACCAATGTGCCAGGATCTGGACAATAAAGATGTATCTTATCTTATCAGATATCACAGATTAAAAAAAGAACAGCAGTCCCAAAAATTGCCAAAATGTTGATGTTAGTAACATGTAAAAGTTGGCTTACGCTATGCTTACTTGTCTGTACATTTGACGTGCCATGTATTATTATATAGGCATATGATCTAGATCTATGCAGTAAAATTGACCGATTAAGTATTGTATGTACTGTCACAATTACAATTTTAAGTCAGTTTTTTTGGAAAATATGGTCATGGTACCTTTGATTTCGATTTTTAACTACGCACAGCCTACTTTCCTAGTGAATAAGGGGAGAATATATGTGTACTCCGTGATAAATTCTTGAGTGATACATGTGTGTACTTGTGTGAGCAAGTGTTGATTGATACATGTGTGTAGGTGTGTACTAAATGAGCAAGTATTGATTGATACGTGTGTGTAGGTGTGTACTTTGTGAGCAAGTCTTGATTGATACATGTGTGTTGGTGTGTACTTTGTGTGAGCAAGTCTTGATTGATACATGTGTGTAGGTGTGCACTTGTGTGAGCAAGTCTTGATTGATACATGTGTGTAGGTGTGCACTTGTGTGAGCAAGTCTTGATTGATACATGTGTGTAGGTGTGCACTTGTGTGAGCAAGTCTTGATTGATACATGTGTGTAGGTGTGTACTCTGAGCAAGTCTTGATTGATACATGTGTGTAGGTGTGTACTCTGTGAGCAAGTCTTGATTGATACATGTGTGTAGGTGTGTACTCTGTGAGCAAGTCTTGATTGATGTAGGTGTGCACTTGTGTGAGCAAGTCTTGATTGATACATGTGTGTAGGTGTGCCCTTGTGTGAGCAAGTCTTGATTGATACATGTGTGTAGGTGTGCACTTGTGTGAGCAAGTCTTGATTGATACATGTGTGTAGGTGTGTACTCTGAGCAAGTCTTGATTGATACATGTGTGTAGGTGTGCACTTGTGTGAGCAAGTCTTGATTGATACATGTGTGTAGGTGTGTACTCTGAGCAAGTCTTGATTGATACATGTGTGTAGGTGTTTATTTGTGTGAGCAAGTCTTGATTCATACATTTGTGTAGGTGTGTACTTGTGTGAGCAAGTCTTGATTCATACATGTGTGTAGGTGTTCACACTGTCTTCTAGTCTTGATTGATGTATTTGTGCGGGTGATTGGCGGGTGCTCCGGTGTTGTTTGCTCCTTCTTTCCTATCGAACATCTGTCGTCCTTACCTCTCCTTCTATTTTGTGTTTGTTACTCTCTTGTAACACCTAATCTTCGGCACTGATTGTGTTGCAAGTGTTGTAAAACTTGTACTAATAACATTTTTAATCAGACTAGAAATGCTAGCAATTATTTGCTACCAGTTTATGTTTGGAAAAGTTGATGATAATTAATTGGAAGATGAGTTTCGTGAGGAATATTTCATCTTGAATTTGGCTGTTCCAGACGATGTGTTCAGAGAACTCATTGACGACTACTTGAAGAAGGCTCTGAGAAAAGGCGTTCCCCCTTCGTTTGTATCAATCAAATCAATTTACCAGGATCCTTCTAAAGTAAGTGTGCACCTGATTCCTGTTTAGCTCTTGGGTTATGCTTCTTTGATGGGCAGAGATGTTGTTTGGGGAGGATGGGGAATGATTTTAACAATGAATGTTCTGAGAGTTGTGAAAGTAAAGGGTTTTCTTTAAATTTGGGTGTTTGAGGGCTTGTTTTGTGAAAATCCTTGCGGGAGGACATGTTTGTATCTGTATAAAATAGGTACTTCTTTGCTGTGAAGTGGGTTGTTGGCGGGTGCTCTGGTGTGGTTTGCTCCTTCCTTCATATCGAACATCTATCGTCCTGATCTCTCCTCTTTTTTTTGTGTGTGTGTTTCTTACTCTCTTGTAACACCTCTATTCTTCAGCGCTTGTATGACCTTATTGTGTTGCAAGTGCCGTAAAACTCTTACTAAAACATTCGCAATGAATGTGTTGGGATTGTGGATTTTGTTATGATTAGAAGGCATCTGGCATTGCTCAAAAGTTCTTCTTTTCCTTTAAATTTTGTCCCAACTGATGCCCCTTGGGAGTTAGCAGAAGCTGAAGTGTAAGACTGAGCTCGACTGACTGGTTTCACTCTCATCTTCCAACCTTTCTCTCTTCTGTTGGTAGTATAGTCATTGCTGATTGTTGATGCTTCTGGCAGTTTTATGTCATGTGCTGGGGTGTTTTCTCATGACTGCGTTATTTTGCGACACCTTTATTACACTTTATGAGATGGGTGGTTGGCGGGTGCTCTGGTGTGGTTTGATTCTTCTTTTCTATCAAACATCTATCGTCCTTATCTCCCCTTCTTCTTTTTTGTTTGTTACTCTCTTGTAACACGTCTAATCTTCTGGCGCTCATATGACCTTATGCAGTCGCGAGCGCCGTAAAACCTCTACTAAAACTAAGACTAAAACGGAGATGGGTACGATGTACGTGACCACTGACATATGGGACTAATACAGTCTACATGGTCGCGGTCGTACAATGTTGAGTGTATATCAGGAGAGTATGTGTGCAGTTTTTGTCAATTCTTTGAATAGTTGCAAGACTTGGTATTCATTCACTTTGTTTCTTTTGTACACAGGTTAAAGTCATTGAAGACCTTGTGCTTTCATATGTGGACAACCTCAAAGAATCAGGGAAATTCGACAGCAATGGTAGGACTTTTTGTTCATTGCAATGTGCATTTTGCTAGGTAGCATAAAAGCTATAAGAGCGTCTAGTCGGTGAGAAAATAGCATTTTTGTCAATTTTGGATCTAAAGAAAGGTGAATGTCCACTTTTTACCTAAATTTCTAGTTTTAAAATCATGATTGTTAACATTGTGTAGTTTTGTTTGGTGTGGTGGCTGTGTTTGTGTGTTGACATGGTTTACTTTTGTTAGGTGTGTCCTTCAAGTGGTGGTGTGTGTGTGTTGACATGATAGCTTATGTTTTGTTAGTTGTTTCCTTCAAGTGGTTATGTGTATGTGTGTGTTGACATGGTTTAGTTTTGTTTGGTGTGTCTTTCAAGTGGTGGTGGTGTGTGCGTGTTGACATGGTTTATTTTTTTGGGGGTTTTTTGGTGTATCCTTCAAGTGACAGTGTGTGTGTGTGTGTATTGACATGGTTTAGTTTTGTTAAGTGTGTCCTTCAAGTGGCTATGTGTGTGTGTGTGTTGACATGGTTTAGTTTTGTTAGTTGTTTCCTTCAAGTGGCTATGTGTGTGTGTGTTGACATGGTTTAGTTTTGTTAGGTGTGTCCTTCAAGTGGCTATGTGTGTATGTGTTGACATGGTTTAGTTTTGTTAGTTGTTTCCTTCAAGTGGCTATGTGTGTATGTGTTGACATGGTTTAGTTTTGTTAGTTGTTTCCTTCAAGTGGCTATGTGTGTGTGTGTTGACATGGTTTAGTTTTGTTAGGTGTGTCCTTCTAGTGGTGGTGTGTGTGTGTTGACAGGTGAGGAGGAGCCAGCGACAGCACTGCTGTGGGCCTACTACTACCTAGCTCAACACTTTGATTTCTTGCGCAATGAAGTAAAGGCATTGGAGTTCATCAACCTGGGAATAGAGCACACACCTTTGTTGATTGAGCTCTATGTATTCAAAGCAAAAATATACAAGGTGAGTCGTGGTTGGTTTTGATATATTATTTACTCCAGGCTTTCGCTCAGATCTTAAATTTAGATATTCTGTACTTGTTTGGTGTTACTTCCTGCCTTCTGGTAAGTCGAAATTGTACCTCTCTTGTAAGGCAATTTTTATCTCCGGCACTTATATGACCTTATTGTGTTGCATGTGCCGTAAAAGTCTTACTGAAAAAAAGACTAAGTCTGTTTGTGATATAGACGAGTGTATCTGTCTGTGTATTGCACCTGTCCTTGTCTGGCTCTCTCCAGCATGCGGGTGATATAGAGGAGGCTGTGCGACTGATGGACGAGGCACAGTCACTGGACACTGCTGACCGTTACATCAACTCAAAATGTGCCAAGTATATGCTGAGGGCCAACCGAATCCAAGAGGCAGCTGACATGTGTTCCAAGTTTACCAGGGTACGTTGACAAATTTGGACCTTGCTGAGATATCAGAGATGTGTACCTGCTACTGAAAAATGATCATTTACGGCTCAACAGATGATAAAAGATATATAAAACCGTATCTTTACTCAAAGATGACAGAATGGGCCATTCAGATAAGCCATCAAATACAAACAATGCGTTAAATGCTATGAGGTCGACTATTAGTACATTAGCGCAGCGGCACAAGAGATAACACATAGCGTGTAGTCATTCAGCTGGACCATGTCACTATCTGGGCCAAGGGACGTGCTACGAGGTCAAAATAACTTGCAAACTCATTGGTCACTATAACTTTGACCTGCAATTTACTACATCATTTACCATATCTCGACATCGGTGCTTTCTTGTCGTATCTCTTTTTTAAAAAATTAATTAAAATTGGAGATTCGACAAGAGAGCACTGAAGTGACGATATAAGGAGCACTGAAATTTTCCTTTGAAAAGGGTCAGGGTCTATGCCCTTTATATAGGGCCTGCGCGCTTCCCGGACGAAGTAGTCGGCCAGTTGGTGGACAGATGATCAGCCGCCTTGTCAGTTTAGTTGTTGCTGGGAACTTGGAAGCCTATTGTCTGATGTTCTAGTTACGTGACTTGATCATTTCTTTGTTTTCTGAGTGAAACTTTCTACTTGTGTCAACAGGAGGGAATTCCGGCTGTGGAAAACTTGAACGAAATGCAGTGCATGTGGTTTCAGACGGAGTGTGCTTTCGCCTACAAGAGACTGGGCAAATGGGGAGAAGCGCTGAAAAAGTGCCATGAAATTGACAGAGTAAGTGGTGGCGTGTGAGCCTGAGATGTAGCTATGAAAGTGACAAAATAGTGGTATTTGAGCAAGGGATATATACGTGATACAGTTTCACTGATTCTCTCTCTCTCTTCTGGTGCTGTGGCTTCATAAACGGTCAACGATGCCGACAGCACGCAGGAACTCAACACTCGCCCGGGGGTCCTTAAAAAGTGCTGAAAGTGGGTTACTGATTCCGTCTTTATTTTGTCCATGCTTATTGTGTGTATGATTGTCAGGAAGAAGTAGTAAATGTTTTCTCAAGGACAGTTTCTCAGAAGCTAAATTGTGGTCAGAGTTACAATATTTTGTCTTATTCAGCTCTGGTGTCTGGAGGTTTTTCCCGAGAAATTAGTTTAAATTTACCTCACAAGACTAGAAAGGACATATCTTGTTTATATTGGAAACATTCCTCTTATATTCAGGCGGGATGTCCCTGCCTTCAGCATGCTCCATCATTTGTTTGTTAGACTGTCAGGTGGATGAAGGTGAAGGGCAGGCTGGGAGTACTTTGGGCAGGTTATGGTCAGCGCAAATTTTGTGGCTCTTCCACTTTGCCCAAGAAATGGAGCTGTAGTAACGGTTCGCAGAGGTTGTGACTTTCAAAAGGCTAATTTTATCTTTCTTTTACACCCTTGCCATCAAGTTCTGTCTGACTCATTTGAGTTTTTCCTGAATTTTTTCTTCAGGGTTCCCGCGACCTCCTTGAATTCAAGGAGTCCTTGAAAACTGCTTGAATTTGCATTCAAGGAAAAATGTCCTTGAAAACTCCTTGAATTTTGCCAGATCGGACAGGAACACGTGTACAGGGTGACTGCCAGGCCCCGGGAATCCCGGGGGCCCCTGGAATTACCCAGGAATTTGAAAAAAATTGCCGAGACCCGGAATACAACGGGAATTTGAAGAAATCTGTAAATTGCCCTTGAAAGACCCGGGAAAATACATAAACGTTCTCGAATATTTGAAAACCAAATTCGATAACGTCCTTGAATTCATTTTTGCCGGTCGCGATTGTGATATAATATTCATTCGGTCTTTCCCGGCCTGAGAGTACGTCACACGCGCACATGCGGTAATGGCGACAACAAGTGGAAGTGTATATGCGATACCGAAGCTCGATCGGTAAAATCAAGATCTGTTGTCGCTTTCGTTACCACCCAGAAATATGCGGTAGGGCATATAGTAGTCTGATAACGCCACATTTGTAACATGCGGGTTCTGCGTTACATACGCTGTGTCACCATGAAAATAAATTGTTTGTCTTGTGCTGTCACTTGTGAAAAAAAAAAAGAAAGGTATACACGTACAAGCTTCTTGTCGGGCTCGCCATCGTGACCGGTCATTGAACCTGTGCGTTTTTGTCACATCGTGAGTATCGGCGATGGTTGAGGTCACCAAAGTTCAGGCAAAGTCTGAGCGCTGCGAAGTATTGGACCCGGGAACGGGGGACTTGTTTATTTTTTTAAGACGCACGCGGGGGAGGGGGTGGTGGTGTTGAAGGCAACACCGGATGACAAAAACTAAACTTGGAAGCAGATATTACTTTACAGAATTTTAATCTACTATCTAGAGCTCTAAGCAAAGCGCGCGTTGGTGCAGGCCTTGTATGGAATCGGGATCTGTCATACTCAAACCTTGTACGCCGTGTGTTTGTAACTAGGGTTCCCGTTTCATTGGGTATGTTGTAGTAAATTATATGTATTGTATATTCTATATTTTAGCTTTCTGTTTCAAGGTTCGCAGATTTTCAGTGTCACTGCATCTTACCCTCCCACAGTTCTTACACCTCTCACACTGAATAGATCTAGGTCTACTTGAGCCATTCATGTTATTACCCTACTTTTAGTTTTTGTCTTTCACGTTTATTATAAACCTTGACAGTGGATGTTCTGGTTCTAGATCTAGTTCTTGGCCTTTTCTCAGGCTCAAAACAAGATTCATTTATATATAGTTTATATAGAGGAATATGATGAGGGGAAAATATAAATAAGTAAGAACTGACTGAAATACCTTAGTCACAGTATCCCAGTGCCACGTTGATATGTTGTTGACTGGATATAATGTACCTACATGCTTGCGTGCGCACGTGTGTGTGTATATATTAATATATAAATGGAGCTTGCACTGTCATTGTTTTGTAACATGCCCCTGGAGAATGGATGAGCCCCCCTTGGAAAATTGAGAAGCCGGGTTGACAGTCACCCTGGGAACAGTTTTTGTAGAAAATTCGAAACTATGATATGGTTCCTTTCGGACAAGTGTAGGCCTTCGAAAATAGGCTTTGGTCATGAATTTCTTGACCAAATCTCCTTGAATTAAAAAAAATTTTCTCCTTGAAACCTCCTTGAAATCTCCTTGAATTTGGTGGGAAGTTCATGGCAGGAACCCTGTTTATTTTTTCTTGTCCGAGTGATTTTTGTAGTCTTGTCGGTCACTTATTGAGTTATTTGTCTGAAACGCTAAAAAGAAATTATTTTTTAAAATCAGCATTTCACAGAAATCATTGAAGACCAGTTTGACTTTCACACGTACTGCATGAGGAAGATGACTCTACGCTCGTACGTGGGTCTGTTGCGACTGGAGGATGCTTTACGGAGTCATCCTTTCTATTCCAGGGTCGCTTTTCTTGCTGTGGAGGTAGGTGCTTGTTCCCATAGACCTGAATCGTAGTGTCTTAGACGGGCAGTGTGGTGGCCACACATAGACCAAGGTCGTATGCAACTTGTCATAAAGCGCAGGAAATTACACAGGTTTATTTGCAATATTGACAGGATTTATGGTAACTAATGTTTAAAAAAAAAACATCTCCATTTTTATTTGATTTTATTTTGTATACATATGTAGATTTGCCATGGTAGGTTTGCATCGCAATCTACTAGGGTCCTGGAGGCACTCGACCTTTTGTCTACACTGCCATTTTTAGTGAGGGTTTTTTTTTTTTAATGGTGTTTTCGTTGTTGGGGGGGAATTGGCAAGTCTGGAAGTATACAGCAGTATGATAATTGATATTGGCTTGGTTTTTTTTCCTCACCAGATTTATCTCCATTTATCAGAGCATCCTTTGGCTGACACAGACCAGGATAATGATGTCAATTCAGGTAACATTAGGCTGTCTCTAGCAGTGTCTCATATTTGTTAAAGGGTTTGGGAGAGGGGGGGGGGTGTAATATTTTTTGTGGAAGTGCAGTCAAAATTGTCCTATCTCGCTATCCAGTGTGAAGAAGAAAAATAGTGTTGTCTTTGACAGGGGGATGTCTTGGACAGAGTCATTCAGGGACGCCGTTATTTTGGGCATCGTCCGTTCTCATTGCTGAACTGATATGATGTTGAACATCTTTGTACACAGCCTAGATTTTGGATTTTAGTTTTTACCTATTTGTGTAGGTGGTTGTCGTCTGCTCTGATGTGGTTTGCTCCTTTTATATCAAACATCCATTGTCCTTATCTTTCTTCCTGTTTTGTGTTTGTTACTCTCTTGTAACTTTTCTAATGTTCAGCCCTTACATAACCTTATCGAGTTGTGCAAGTGCCGTAAAGCTCTTACTTAGACTAAACATTTTTGTCACATTGTGTTGAACAGAAAACCTCTCCCCGAGTGAGCTGAAGAAGATGAAGAGGAAACAAAGAAAAGCTCAAAAGAAGGCCGAGTTGGAAAAGGAGAAGCAAAAGGCTGAACAAGAGAAGAAAGATCAGAATAAAAATAAGGCCCAGGATGGAGAGATGGATGGTCCGAAGGAGGAAGAACTGATTCCAGACAAGCTGGCCAGGGTAAGTGGGTTTTAATTTTTTAAAATTAATTAATAGCATTTGTGTAGCGCATATCCCTGCTCGACAGCAAGCTCTGTGCGCTTTACACTATACCATTACCCGAGCAGACCATAGAACACTCGGTAACAAGGAAACACTCAACTTTCAAGAAGAAAACAGTGCGAGCAGCTGATTAAGCGCTCAAACACTAACACACTCATCAAATTTAATTGATTCCTGATGAGCTAACGAGGGTAAATGGGTGTTGGGAATGCAGGAAGAATTGATTCCAGACAAGCTGGTGAGGGAATGTGGGTTTTACTTTAGTTCCCAGGGTATCCTCAACATGTTGGTTGATAATGGAGCTAGGAGTTGTGTAGAAATCCTCACAGGGCTGTCTGTGTAACTCTTTCGGCAAACCGGTCCGAGCGGCTCGCGGTCGGAACTTCTGTGCCGGTGAGCCGTCCTCAGCGGCTCGGGTACATTCCTTTACGACGACTTCTACATCAAATTACATTTTGGCAATTGCCTAAACTAGGTTCTTTTATCAGGATTTCATTCATTAGATGAAGAACTATAAAAATAGCTGCACTTGTTTTGTTTTAATGGCCGATCAAGTGACGTTTTTGTCATTTTTAGATTTGGTACCAAAAAACGGTTCCGGCATAGTGAGTTTACCCCCTCGGAGACTGTTAAGGCACTTGAAATGCTACATTTTATGTCTTTATCACTGCAGTGATTTTCCTTGTTTACTTGCTCTCTTATCTGGCGTAATGTCATTTTTACGTTAATGCAACTGTTAGGTTTTGGTTTAAGTGAGATATTTGTTTTTGAAAGTAAACATTTTTCTATGAATTGTACTGGTTTGTTTTTCCCTCAATGCAGCGTAGCTGTCGCATCTGCCTATTGGATCTCCATGGCCACTGTTGTCTAGTTTGTTTGTGTTGAGGAAGTCGTGCTTGGCTCTTCCTCATTGTCCCGACAGTGGGTGGTTGGCGGGTGCGCTGGTGTGGTTTGCTAGTTCTTTCCTATCAGACATCTATCGTCCTTGTCTCTCCTCCTTCTCTTGTGTTTGTTACTCTCTTGTAACGCCTCTTATCTTCAGCACTTATATGACATTGTGTTGCGAGTGTCGTAAAACTATTACGAAAACTAAACTAAATTGTCCTGACAGATTGACGATCCTTTAGAGCAAGCCATCCACTTCCTGAAGCCCCTGCAGATGTTGACGCCGCAGTGTGTGGAGACTCATGTCCAAGCTTACGAAATTTACTCGAGAAAAGGTGAGAAATAGGTCCAAATGTCGGAATAATGTATTTATATTGGGCTGCAACGTATGCATCAAGGTTGATTTTTTGCTGAGTCACCTAGGTGGATTTGGTAACAAAAATCTTGATAATGTCAATGATGAGCGAGGTGAAAGATTTCATGTAAGTATTAGGATGACAGAGGAGAGGGGGTCACCCAACGTGATGGTACACAACACACTGGAGAAAATCCTGCAAAAGAAAGTTTCTGTCCTGAACATGTTGCCTGTGTGAGACATTGAAGATTCACATGATTGACAAGATTGACAAAATGCTTCCGTATCTCAATCTTCTTTCTTGCTCTGATCCAAGTTACGTATTTGTTATCATTTAGGCTTATTCAGTTGCATAAACCGCAAAAACGGTGGTTATGCCATACAGAAGAATACTTGACATGATAGAGCAAAAACTGCTATCATTATCTGGTGCAGCGACCACGTGTTAGCAAAAACAATTCACAAACTAAAAAAAAACTGGAGGCTGCCTGCAGTAAAAAAAAAAGGGAGCTATTTTCTTGGCCTGTTATCATAACAGAAATAGTTTGAGACAGGTTTGAAGTGGATGGTTGGGTTTTTTTTTGTAAGTGGAATACTTTGTCCTCTGTGTCTGATAGATTAGTGGAGTTCTTTCATTGGACTCCTAATAAAGGAATTAATTTTTATCAATTTTATTTTGTGCGTTAAAACTTTTTTTGGGGGGGGGTTGTTTTTTTTGTTGTTTTTTTTTTGTGTGTGTGGTCTTCACTCATGTGGAATATTGAAATGTTGGGTTTGAAGGTGACATAGTTGGTAACGGTACAACACTGAAACGGGTTGCTTTGACGAAGGGATGTACTTGCTCGTGGTTGAAGACATCTTCTGGTTTTGTCTCTTAATTAATGGAGTCTATATATAGATTTTTGGCCTGAGTGCCAATGTCACTTGTGGTTTCCGTGTGTTGGTTAAAATACAGTAGTCTACACCTACATGCACAGTACTGGAGGGAGGGGGGTTGGCTCCAAAGGGTGCATTTGCATGGAGCGTGCGATTACGTGGACTCTTTCAAAGGGGGAAAGGGATGCAACTGTCTCATTTTCTTGATATTTTAGTGACCCGGGGGG